CCTATGGATGTGCACATACCCCTTGGTACTTGCTGAGTACAGTCTGTCTGTCTATTCTTTCTGCATTGAGTCTCTTCTGTCCTAGGTCATAGAACTCTGTGGATGAAGGATAGGGCCTTGCTGCCAAACCTGCACGAGACTTAGTAGGACTAATCTCTACTCTCGTATCTGGAGACCTGGGCATGAGCGGCGAGCGCTCGTTAAACAACTCGTCTAGCCCAATGACCGGTACTGTCCGGCAGGTCTGCTCAGTTTCAGTGTAGAGGGTCCGAACTCTGAGCTGCAGGCTGAAACGGAGGCCGTCTTTAAGTGTTGAGGGCCTATTGGAACCACTCCCCTATCAGACCAAGTAAGGCTGATGATCTGTGTCTGACGACTCGACTGTCCCAGGGGATACGAACCCTCCCAAGGACCGGTACAGACCGGCGGGCTGCTCCGTGTGGCACAGTAGGCCGGAAAGGCTGAGTTGTGGGATGAAAGCACAGGCAGAACCAAGCTGATCACGTCGTCCTGTCTTCAACGTTAAATTTTTTTTGAGGAGTTACGGGGGATCTCCTTAAATGCCTCCTGATCAGCCACTGGTTCAGTAGTGACAGCCATAGTGTAGGTCTAGGCTAGAGACCATAGTTGACAGGATCCATGTCAGGATTCTGTGAGTCTTAGATTGAGTCAGTAGGTCTGTCAGTCAGGGGTTGACGTCTACGTGGTGAAATTTGGAACCACTAACCCGGTTGTACACTTATCACCATGGTTGAGACCCGTAGTGGGAAGGAGACTAGCCCCTACAGCACTGAGAAGCAAGAAAAGATGACCGCCTTAGTCAGAGAGAATAAGGACAGGAAAGAGCGTGAAAAGCAAGCCAAGCTAAAGGCTATCGCAGACGAGCAGGCGGCGAAGATGAAGAGATTGGAGGAGGAGATGAAGAGGGTACAACAGGAGGTGGAAGAAAGAAGGAAGGCTGCTGAAGCAGAAGCGGCAGCAGAAGAAGAGAAAGAGAGAATGAGAATTGAGAGTGGAGAAGGGAGCAGTGGTGGCACGATGAAGTGGGAGACAGACACTGAGCTGGAGAAGAAGATCGGCGAGTGGGTCGCTAATTTATCGTTGGGGGAAGACGAGGAGGCGGAGTCCTATGTGACTAAGGATGAGAAGGCTGCGCTGGCCGCTGAGCTAGCAGCCATGACAGACCCAATGGAACGAAGAGAAAGGGAAGACGAGCAAAAGTTAGCATGGAAGTTGAGAATGAAGAGGGAGAAGAAGAGGAGGAGAGAGGAACTGAATAAGATGACCGCAGCAGTGGCAAGGGTGCAGGAGTGTAGAGCGGAGGTGCTGGCCCAGCCAGATGATAAGGCCAAGTGGGACAAGGTACTGGGCTATCTAAAGGTGTTGAGCAAGGCCTGGATGGAAGAGCGCCAGGCAAGTTGGAGCCAAGATGTAGCCTTGAGTGCCATGCGGTCATGGTTTAGAGACTTTGCGCGCGAGATCGTCACCCATATTGGGGGCGAAGTCAAACAGTTG